AAAGAAAAGAAAATTTGTAGCACCTGCATCTCCCCTTGCTTGCGCTCTCTTGCTTCTGCCATGTAAGCTGCCTGCTCTCCCTTCACCTTCCACCATGACTGTAAGTTTCTAGAAGCCTCCCCAGAAGCCAAGCACATGCCAGCATTATGCTACCCTGTACAGCCTGCAGAACCGTGAGCCCATTAGGCCTCTTTTCTTTATAAATTACCCAGTCTGGGGTATTTCTTTATAGCAATGAGAGAATGGACTAATAATGAGAGCAAGAGAGATTGCAGGAAGAAAAGGCTAGTAAAACAGAAGTCACAGTCTTTTGCAACCTAATCACACAAATGACATCCCATCATTTTTGCTGTGCTCTCTTTGTTAAAAGCAAGTTAGGGCCAGGTACAGTGGCTCATGCCTGTAACCCTAGCGCTTTGGGAGGCTGAGATGGGAGGATCACTTGAGGCCAGGAGTTTGAGACCAGCCTGGTCAGCATAGTGATACCCCATCTCTTAAAAAAAAAAAAAATTTTTTTTAAAGCAAGTTATGGAAGTTATGGCTAGGCACAGTGGCTCACGCCTGTAATCCTAGCACTTTGGGAGGCCAAGGTGGGTGGATTACCTGAGGTTAGGAGAACAGCCTGGCTAACATGGTAAAACCCTGTTTCTACTAAAAATACAAAATTAACTGGGCATAGTGGTGGATGCCTGTAATCCCAGCCATTTAGGAGGCTGAGGCAGAAAAACTGCTTAAACCCTGGGGGAGCAGAGGTTGCAGTGAGCCGAGATCGTGCCACTTCACTCCAGCCTGGGTGAAACAGTGAAACTCCCATCACAAAAAGAAAAAAAAGCAAGTTACTAGGTCCAGCCTACTCTTGAGGGCAGTGGATTACACACAAGTGAACACCAGGAGGTAGGGAGTCTTTGGTTGTCATCTTAGAAATCTGCCTGCCACAGTGGTTTTGAAAAAGGAGAACATTCTAGAATTGTACTTTATGACCACTGACCCACATGGTCCTCATACTACCAATTACTTTAATAGTTAGTTGACAGGTGCAGGTCATAAAGATGGTGGAACCATTGTTGATCTCATTGTGTTCTGAATTTAGCAAGCCAAATGCCACTGCTCTTGGCTTGGACAAGAACATTAATGCCAAAATTAATGTTCTGATCTTTGACCCTGGTGGCATTTTTTATCTGTCCATCCTCAGTGTTCAAGATGGAATTACTGAAATCATGTCTACAACTAAGGATGCCCACCTGAGTGAAGGATGCCTTGACAACTAAGTGGTCAGCTGCTTCATGGCTAAGATCAACAGCAGGTATAGAAAGGACACCCGGGAGAACAAGCAGGCTGCCCAGGCCCCTTCTGCCTCTACTGAATGTACTCTTCATTCTGGTATCGAGGCCAGTTTGAGATTGAGTCTCCCCGTGACGGGTTCACATCTATACCTCTGTGCACATGAGCAGCTGGAAAAATCTAAAGCCACCCCAGTCCCTGTGGAGAAAGCCATAAGCAATGTCAGCTGAACACATTGTCAGTCCTTCATGGGTGGCTCTATATCCCTAAGATTTAAAATCTCTTGTAAGGCCAGACATGGTGGCTCATGCCAATAATCCCAGCACTTTGGGAGGCCAATGTGGGCAGATCACTTGAGGCCAGGAGTTCAAGACCAGCCTGGCCAACATGGTGAAACCCCATCTCTACTAAAAATACAAAAATTAGCTGGGCGTGGTGGCACATCCCTGTAATCCCAGCTACGTGAGGGGCTGAGGCATGAGAATCACTTGAACATGGTAGGTGAGAGTTGCAGTGAGCTGAGATTGCACCACTGCACTCCTGCCTGGGCAACAGAGTGAGACTTATCTCCCAAAAGATAATTAATAAATAGATAAAGTCTCCTATAAGAAGAACAAAAACTGAATTTATTTACAGGCAGCATGATCTTGTATGTGGAAGACCCTAAAGAATCTACGAGGAAGCTACCAGAACAAGTGAGTTTATCAAGGTTTCAAGATCAATATATACAAAACAGTTGCCTTTCTTTATACTACCAATACACAATTGGAAATTGAAATTTTAAAAATACTGTTTATAATAGCACCCGAACCTTGAATTAGGTTCGAATTGAGTGATCCAACTATTCCAGAAAAATATTAATCAATTGGAGTAATCTGAACCAGCTAATGGTTCTTTATTTCATTCCTCAGTCTCACTCTGGGACATCTTTGTTAGTGTTAAGTCTTCTGCATGAGTTATGAAGCATACCTAAAAGGTCTCAAACTACATTTCTCAAGAGAGTTTTCTCAGCATCCCGAAGGCAGTTCAGACTTATTGGATTATGTGAAGGTTATTAAGAAGAGCTTGAAAGAGTTAGACTCAGCATCGTGCTGGCATTATACATAATACAAAAGAAAAATAATTGGTCCTGCCCTTCAGCCAGCTTTACAGTTTTCCAAGAAAACAGATGGAACAAAGAAAGAGCGATGGTAGTGCTAGGAGAAAGTTGGTCCTTGTTTCCCCCCGCGAAAGACGAAAGAAAGAGTCGAGAAAATGGGTGAGGAGGCATAAGACATGGTAAAAAGTTGAGGGCAGAGGTCTGGAGGCAGAGGGCAGTTCCACAAGCGTTATGGGACAGAAACTAGTTGGCAGTGGATCCCTCGCTCCATTTTCTCACATCGGTGTCCCCAAAGTCCTGTCATCAAGGCATCTCTCCCGATGCCACCTACTCCATGAGCACTCGTCTGTTGTCATGACTTCTAGTCCCACCTTCTCCTGGTGACTTTCAAATGTCTCTCTCTAATCCCAGTCTCTCGTTTGCCTTCCAAATGTTTCCAGTTGCCTCCCCAATCTCGCACATCTTCCTCATTTACATTATCTCATAGCATCCTTTTGAAAATTTTGTGTGTACCTTTTCCACTAGAATTTAAGCCCCATGAGATCAGAGACCATGATTATTTTCTTGCCAGTTCTTGGCAAAGTCCTCACATATAGTATGTCCTCAAAAATATTTGCAGAATTAGTCAATGATTATGATTGCAGAATGAAACTCACGGTATTCCCCCCATGAAAATGTTAAACCTTTTCTGTTCTCTATTGCAGCTCATAGAAGGACCTGCTAGCCTCACCTATTTAGTCATTCAACTAGAAACTTAAAAGTCATCTGGGTGTCCTTTTTCTCCTTCACCCTCCATATCCACTTAAACATTCTTTATTTTCCTCTAAGTATCATGGATTCATTAGCAAATATTTATTGAAAGCCTATGTGTGAGGCCCTGGGCTGGTGAAACAGAGGCATACCATGTGACCCCTGCCTTTGGCACCTATTAATGTTCATCCCTACAGCCCCTCACCTTCCTTTCCCACCTGGACTTGTCTAATTCCTTCTTCACTCTGTCTCCAGACTTTTTTCCAGTCTCTGCACCCTTTGACTGGAAGGCAGAGAGATACGTCTATTTCACCATTCTGTCTTCTCTGCCCAGCACAGTACAGTAAATGTTATACTTCCAGATTGAACAGAGGCCTCCCGATTACCTGCAGAATGAAGTTCAGATATTCTAGCATGACATGCTAATTGCTGCTGTAGCAACTTTCACAAACCTAGTGGCTTACAGAAACTGTTCTGTAGGTGGCATGGCCTAAAGTTAAGGTGTGATGCCCCTTTGGAGACTGGATGGAATCAATTTCCTCACCTTTTCCAGTGGCTGGAGACCACCTACATTCCTTGTTCATGGCCCCTTCCTCCATCTAGCAAAGGCCAGTGGAATCCTCATATTGTATCATTCTGAACCCATTTCCATTTTTAAGGACCCCTGTGATTACATTGGGCTTTCCCACATAATCTACTATTATCTCCCCATCTTAAGATCAGCTAATAATACTTAACTGACAGGGGAGATACCATGATCACGAAGGTGGTTTTCCCAGGGCGAGGCTTATCCATTGCACTCCAGATATGCTGACCCCTATGATTTCCCGTTTTCTATATTAAATTTTTTTTAAAAAAAAGATCAGCTAATTAATAACCTTAATTTCTTATATAATCTTAATTCTCCTTTACCACATTATATTCACAGATTCCAAGAAGTAGGACATAAGTATCTCTGGGGTGTGGTACACAGTACCTCTCACAATCTGATACATACTTACTTTTTTTTTTTTTTTTTTTTGACACAGAGTTTCCCTCTTGGCACCCAGGCTGGAGTGCAATGGCGTGGTCTTGGCTCACTGCAACCACCGCCTCCCAGGTTCAAGCAATTCTCCTGCCTCATCCTCCCAAGTAGCTGAGATTATAGGCACCTGCCACCACACCCGGCTAATGTTTGCATTTTTAGTAGAGATAGGGTTTCACCATGTTGGCCAGGTTGGTCTTGAACTCCTGACAGGTGATCCACCTGCCTTGGCCTCTCAAAGTGTTTGGATTACAGGTGTGAACCACTGCCCCCGGCTAACTTACCTTCTTTTTTTTTTTTTTTTTTTTTTTAGTTGGGGTCTGCTCTTGTTCTCCAGGCTGGAGTGCAATGGCGCGATCTCGGCTCACCGCAACCTCCGCCTCCTGGGTTCAGGCAATTCTCCTGCCTCAGCCTCCTGAGTAGCTAGGNCTGGGTTCAGGCAATTCTCCTGCCTCAGCCTCCTGAGTAGCTAGGATTACAGGCACGTGCCACCATGCCCAGCTAATTTTTTGTATTTTTAGTAGAGACAGGGTTTCACCATGTTGACCAGGTTGGTCTCGATCTCTTGACCTCGTGATCCACCCGCCTCGGCCTCCCAAAGTGCTGGGATTACAGGTTTGAGCCACCGCGCCCGGCCTTAACTTACCTTCTTAACCTTACTTCCAAGCACTTCTAGGTTGACCACAATCTAGCTATGCTTGTCTCTGTGCTGTTTCCTATGCTTGAAATGCTTCCTTCATGCCCCCATCCCCCCACATCCCGCCCACCTTTTCTTCGTGTCTGCTGCCTTTTAAAGCCTAATTCGGACGGGTGCCATGGCTCATGCCTATAATCCCCGCACTTTGGGAGGCTGAGGTGGGCAGATCGTGAGGTCAGAAGAGCAAGACCATCCTGGCTAACATGGTGAAACCCCATCTCTACTAAAAATATAAAAAATTAGCCAGGCGTGGTGGCACGCACCTGTCCCAGCTACCCAGGAGGCTGAGGCAGGAGAACTGCTTGAACCCGGGAGGCAAGTGTTGCAGTGAGCCAAGATTGCACCACTGCGCTCCAGCCTGGACAACAGTGCAAGACTCCATCTCAAAAAAAAAAAAAAAAAAAAAAAAGCCTAATTCACATTGCCTACCACTGTGAAGCCTCTCCTGTTTTTTTTTTTCTTTGTTCCCTTATCTGCAAGCACGGAGCATACAGGCCTCTATACTTAAATGAAATAGAAACCATACCGTAGTGGTAGGAACTCTTGCTTGCACATTTCAGTGTGTTGTCAGATGCATGGGTTAAGTGAGGTAAGTTGTTAGACTTAATAGGACACTTGGCATGTTTAGGAGAGCTGTGGTAATAGAAACAAACTCTAAGGAGTAAGTTGGGTAATGATGAGGTAGAGGAGAAAGAAAATGTTGCCTGTTCTTTGCCTAAATTGAAAGAAAAGGGAAGAGGGCTCAATCAGTTTGAAGAGAAAAGCAAGCTTAAAGATGAACATTAAAGACCAAGATCAAGCAGCCAATGTAGACATATTAAGAAAGGGCAAGAGGAAAAGAAAAGAGGAAGGGGAAAGGAAGGAAGAGGAAAGAGGCATGCTTTAAACATTTATACAGATTAGAAACTACAGGGTGACTATAGATCTGGAAATAGGGGCAAATGCTGATGAGTATGGTTCAGTGAGTTAACCCTGTGGTTCCCTAAGGCAGGTTTTTGTTTGTTTGTTTGTTTTTTGGAGACAGAATCTCACTTTTGTCACCCAGGCTGGAGTGCAGTGATGCAATCTTGGCTCACTGCAGTGTTAATCTCCTGAGCTCAAGCGATCCTCCCAACTGAGCACCCCCCAACCCAAGTAACTGGGACTTACAGGCATGTGCCACCATGCCTGGCTAATTTTTTTGTAGAGACACGTCTGTTGCACAGGCTGGTCTCAAACTCCTGAGCTCAAGTGATCCTCCTGCCTCAGCCTCTCAAAGTGCTGGGAGTACAGGCATAAGCCACCGAGCTCCGCCTAGTAAGGCAGTTTAATGCTATGTGCAAAAGTCATAACATGGTGAACTAACACATTCCAATCAACCCCTGAACACGTACCTGTGATTCGTGTCTTAATGTTCACTGACCAAACCTGAAACTTCAGCATACCCCATGAAACAAACTATTTTAAGTATGCTTCCAGGATTTCCAATTTCCAGAAGCAAGTGATTAATATAGAGGTATTAGGTAGGTAATGACAGTTGTCACATCCAAGTTTTGAATTCAGGAACTTTATTTTCTTTTAATCCCCACAGCCAGCTCGTCTTGAGGCATCACAATTTAAAACTGTTGCAGTTCAGTTAAAACCAATGCCATCTAGTGGTGTGTGCGCAGCAAGTCAAATGTCAAGCATAGGTTTTGTAGTAGAAATTATCTTTAGGTCTTGCTAAAAAATAATTAAGTTTCAAGTTTGCCTTTTTATATTGCTAAAAAGGGCAGCTACTAGGACTCAAAGACTGTATTTTTAGTTCTTCCATCAAAATCTTACAAAGAGCTTCAGGATGCAATTTTTTTTTTTTTTTTTTGGATACAGTTTCACTCTTGTTACCCAGGCTGGAGTGCAATGGGGCGATGTCGGCTCACCGCAACCTCCGCCTCCTGGGTTCAGGCAATTCTCCTGCCTCAGCCTCCTGAGTAGCTAGGATTACAGGCACGTGCCACCATGCCCAGCTANGATACAGTTTCACTCTTGTTACCCAGGCTGGAGTGCAATGGGGCAATGTCAGCTGATTGCAACTTCCGCCTCCTGGGTTCAAGCAATTCTCATGCCTCAGCCTCTGGAGTAGCTGGGACTACAGGCATAAGCCACCATGCCCAGCTAATTTTTCTATTTTTAGTAGAGACAGGGTTTCACCATGTTGACCAGGATGGTCTCGATCTCTTGACCTCATGATCCACCCGCCTTGGCCTCCTAAAGTGCTGGGATTATAGACGTGAGCCACCGCGCCCGGTGCAAAGTATTTTTTGCAGTTAAATCTGTGCATTACAAAATGTCTCTGGATGGATTCACAAGAAACTGATAATGTTTCTGCCTGCCTTTGGGGAGAGGACTGAGGAGCAAGATTTTTTCACTGTACAGCTATAGAATTCTTATGTATATGACAGTATTAAATTGTTTAAGTATAAATACATGTTACTAAAATTTTTCTTACACAGGTCATGAACGAAAAACTTCAACACTGCATGGAACTAACAGATCTAATGCGGAATCACCTGAATGAGAAGAGGGCACTCCGCTTGGAGTGGATGATTGTCATCCTCATTACCATAGAGGTAAGATGGAAATGCTGTGTACCGTAATGTTACATACTCTTTTCACAAATACAGGGGCTATGCTAGTAAGATAGTTTGAGATAGAAAATTATTAGCAGGAAAGAGGCTTTGTTACCATTACTAATTTGAAGTTTCAAATTTGCAAATGCATTGATAGTAAATTTTGAAAAGGTTCCACTTTTAAAAACTTTAGAGTAGACCTCAAGGTTCTACATTTTTAAAGACAGCATTTGGAAAAAGTTCTAGTTGTAAATTTATAATATACTGCCCAACATCAAATCAAACACCTGTGCCTCCCATTCACAGCCTGCCATGTGAGAAACTCAAGTATTTACCTTATCAGGAGCTTTTCTCATTGGAAGTCATTGTAGTTTGTACCCACAATTTGCCTGTCATGAAATTAGTAATTCTCACTTTTTATCCTAAGGTAATGTTTGAGCTGGGACGAGTACTTTTCTGATCAAGTGAAACCAAAGTGTCACTGCAAGAGATGAATTCAAGTTCTACAATCAAAAAATAAATGTTTGGCCAGGTGCAGTAGCTCATGCCTGTAATCCCAGCACTTTGGGAGGACGAGGCAGTTGGATCATTTTAAGTCAGTTCAAGACAAGCCTGGCCAACATGGTGAAACCCCATCTCTACTAAAAAATACAAAAAAAATTAGGCACACCTGTGACCTTAACTACTCAGGAGGCTGAGGCAGAAAAATCTCTTGAACCCGGGAGGAAGAGGTTGGAGTGAGTTGAGATCATGCCACTGCACTCCAGCCTGGGCGACAGAGTGAGACTCAGTCTCAAAAGTAAAAAATAAAATAAATAAATGTTCACTACTAGTTGATCGCTTATTTAATAAGTATTTTTTTAATCAAGAAATTGTTTCAGCCCCCAATATATTGTGTGAATAAAGTATAAAGAATCCCGTGTTTGCTTCTTCATCACTGACAATTCAAAAAGGAAAATATCACAGTTAAGAACGTTGGAAAACCTTAGCATCTAGAAATCTTGGTTAATCTTGGCAGATACCTCTTAAAACAAAGGGCTTAGATTATAGACCACAACTTAACCTATCCCCAGGGAATGCTATCATGGCCCTGGCTAAGAGAACCACACAGGAACTCAAGTGTTGACATCAATATATACAGTAACAAGACAGGCTTCTGATGGCAGAAATGAATCTTAAAGACCTATTTTAGATGGATGATTTGAGTATGGCTGTTCACTGGCACCTTTTCTTTTGTTAATCAATACTTTGTCCCTTCACCAAGTCAGTCACAATATTCTTCCCACAGACGTTTGTTTCACACGTATTTTGGGGAAATTTAAAAAAACAAGCACAAAGATTCTAAACATCTATGTATTTACCTCCTTGTGTTGACATTTTTCTTAAAATCAACTCTTTATCTACATTGCCTTATTTTTATGCATAACCCCTCATGCCCCACTATAGTCCTCGCCCAACTTTTCACGCATATCCTTTCGTTTTGCAACTCACTTAACTGCTACACAGTGTTACACCGAGAATACATTCATCTGTACTAACTGATGGACACATGTATTTGCAGTAACAGTGCTAAGATAAAC